ATTCTCAAGAATTTAAATGTGTTATTGTTCTCTCATGATTTTCATTTGTGGTGTGTTTGTTAATTTCTTATTATATTTTATTGTATTTAAGTTTTGTAAATCAGAGGCCTCGACTGGGGAATTGTATTTGTTTTATAATGGATTCAGGGAGGCTACTGATCTGAGATCCGTGTAGTTCTCTTCAAAGATTCTGGCTTAGTGGAAGAGTCTCACTCCCCATTTTGCAGAAAGCCCAAGCTTAATCTTCTAATCCCAGTAGCTGGTATTGACACTTCCCCCCCAAGGCAATCCCAGCCTTTACATTTGTTTAAACTGTTCATTCCAGTTCTAGCTGTTCTCATTTTTCCATTTTTGGCACATGGGGATATAATTTATTTCTTGTTTGTCAGCAATGTATTAAAATTATATTTGAAATATATCCAGGTTCTAGTTAGTCATATTGTAATGGGAGAGTCATTCATCTTATCTAGTCCATCATAATCATAGCAATGAAAAGCATAAGAAATATTTTAATCTGTATCAGTGGAAGGTTGTAACTTTGGAAGAAAAAAGAGGAAGTGAGAAGTAAATAATAAGCCATGTAGACATGTTGAATAATAGGATTTGATTTATTGGACCATGATTATATCATACTTTTTTTTCTGAAGGCTAAAAAGAGGAATACATGAATTGATGGAGAAAAGTTAGTTATAAATTGTGTTATAATGTCTTGAACCAAGTTCACCTTAAATAATGAGAAAAGAAAAATGTTATATTTAACTACTTAAAATAAGTCATATTTTTATGAAATGATATGCTTCTTAAGACTAAGACTATATTTCTTCCATATGTCCAGGGCCCCAACATAGAATAAGCACTTAAGTATTCCCTGGGGTCTGAAACTGCTGAGCTAAAAATGTCTTTAAAAATCATATAGTTTAACATTTTAAATATAGAGACAAATAACTTGAACTACAGTTTTAAGCAATTTCTCACACAGCTAGTATAATAGATCATGGAAGTAGACCCAAAGTCTCCTGACTCCAGACCATGCCTGTATATTAATCACATTATACCACTGAGTTGAGTCGATATGAAATGTTCCTGTATGTGCCGTTGCATATCAAAAGAAGGGAGAAATGCTCTCTTTGAACTAATTGTGTTTTTTCCTTCCCCTTTACAGAACTGATGACTTCATGCTGAGAGCACATTTCTATGAATATAAATCCTCTACAGTACTGTGTATTTAAAAAAACAATTTACACTTTAAAGACAAAATCTTCTCTTTCACTCCTCCCACCCCGACCCCCCAACCCTTTGGTAATAGTTCAACTCCTAATCTCAGTGGTTAAGTATGGATGCTGCCCAGGAGTAAGCAGGACTCACAGGTTAGAGACCAGGAAAGAGCCGATTTGTGCATCAGACATAAATAGCAAATGTGTGATGAAAGAGGTTAAGAGGGAAAAAAGAGCTGTACATGTGTGAAGTGTGTCAGGCTGGGATCTGAACTTTTAAAAGATGGACATGCTTAGTGACTTGGGGTAGGTTTACAGGGGTGAAGAGGGAATACACACCAACTTTGTTTCTTTTTCTACCTCCCTTCATTTACTTCAACTCCGAGGCCTTAATATTCTCATCTGTAAAATGAGGATATATTCCTCAGAATTGTTATGAGAATTAAATGAGATAGTGAAAATAAAAAAGTGAATGCAGAACTTGTCACATCATCAGGCAGAGAAGCCCTTAATTTATATTATTACTGCATTTGCTGAAACTGAGGCCCACTAGCCAAGCCCTTCACGTGTGCTTTCTCCTCTGACCACCAGAGAGCACACCAATACTGCCCTTCTCAAGGGAGAAAGGCCCCCGAGTCCCACAGCCTGAGGCTGTAGAAATGCTGTGGCTAAGCCACTCTCGTATGAATTTTGCAGAAGAGCAAACCACCCTTCTTGAAAGGCATAAGCACAGTATCTGCCTTCCTCTTTATATATTAGTTGAGCAAGGAATGCACAGGATGTAAGTTAAACAGTAACTGAATATAAAATTATATGTAAATATTGAGATACACTAGGTTTCTGGCGTTAGGAAGCAAAATAACTTGAGTATTAACTTTCTTTTTTCTTTATATTTTAGAAGACTTTATTACTTTTTTGAAGTACTATACCATAGGTATAAACATTCCATTTTATCCTCACAATAACACTGTGAAGTATAACTTTCTTTTTCTTTTATATTTTGAAACACTTTATTGCTTTTTTTTGAGCTCCTATTCTACAGGTATACCTCTTTCATTTTATCCGCAAAAATAACACTGTGCACAGGGCAAAGGGCACTTTTTCCAGCTATCTGGTATGAAAAGTGAAGTGCAGAGAAGTTTAGTGACTCACCCAAAGCCACACTGGTATTTAGGGTCAGAATCTGAACTACCACTCAGATCTAAGATATCATGTGTAGGAATGCTTTTCTCTTCCCCTCACTCCATTCTTCCCTTTCTCTTTCCCTCCCTTCTTTTCTTTCCCTTCCTCCAGCTGCTCTCCCTCTCCATTTCCTTCTCCTGCTTCTTCACTATGCATATTTCAGACATATGTCAGAACTAAATAAAATGCCCAATAACCCACCATTCAAATTAAGAAATATATTACCAATACCTCTGAAGCCCACTGCATCCTACCCCCTATCTTTAACCACTATCCTGGATTTTGTAGTTATTGTTCCCTTCTCTTTCTAGTTTTATTATCTTATCACCTGTGCATCCCTACAAATACCTAGTTTGTATGATGGACTTTATGCAAATGTAATAATACCAATGTATCCTTTTTTGCTCGATATTATGTGTCTGAGATCCATTCATCAATCAACATAATGAGTTGTCACTGCTTTAGAGTACTGCATTTTATGAAGACACCACACTTTATTCATCTACTAGAGGCCTGGTGCACAGATTCGTGCACCGGTGGGGTCCTTTGGCCTGGCCTGTGCCCTTTCACAATCCGGGACCCCTCAGAGGATGTTGGACTGCCGGTTTTAGCCTAATCCCCATAGGCCAGGCCAAGGGACCCCACCGGTGCACGAATCTGTGCACTGGGCCTCTAGTATGCATATAAGATCTTTGGTTAATCTCTTCCTGCCTCCTCTCCCCCCTTCCCTCTGAGATTCATCAGTCTGTTCCATGTTTCCATGCTTGTGCGTTGAGTGTCTGCCCCCTGGTGGTCAGTGTGCATCATAGCTACTGGTCAAATGGTCGAATGGTCGGTCACTTGGGCTTTTATATATATAGATTCTACTGAGGGACATTTTGGTTATTTTCAGTTTTGTGCTATTCTGCATACAACTTCTGTTGCACATCTGCAAGAATTTTTCCAGTGAAATTACTGGCTTACAGAATGTAACTACCTACAACTATACCAGCTAATGCTAAATTGTTTTCCAAATTGATTGTACCAATTCCCATGAGTGTATGAATTCCACATTTTCATCAACTTGAAATTTTCAGAAACTTTAGCCAATTTCACAGCTTGTGTTCAGATCGTGGTTTCTAAACACCACTCTCTAATAAAAAGAACTAGAGTTTCTTGGAGAAATAAGTTGATTCCAGGGCTAGGGCAGGTAATACTTAAGATGAGTCTGGAACATCTTCCTGTGCCTAAAAGTAAGATCATGTTTCGAAACCAAAATAAAACACAGGGGCCAACTCAAAGTAGCTCCTATGTGCCAAAGCTGGAACAATTTGAGCAGCAAAATAGGAAATTATAATATTAAATTATAATATATAAATATAATAAATATCCATGAGTCCTTACTGATAGCAGGGGTCCTCAAACTACAGCCCGTGGGCCACATGCAAATACAAATATTGTATTTGTTCCCGTATTGTTTTTATACTTCAAAATAAGATATGTGCAGTGTGCATAGGAATTTGTTCATAGTTTTTTTTTTTTAAACTATAGTCTGGCCCTCCAACGGTCTGAGGGACAGTGAACTGGCCCCCTGTTTAAAAAGTTTGAGGACCCCTGAATAAGAGTAATCAATTAAATAAATAAATGGGGGAGATGGGTCAGATTTTCCTTATGGTAGAATTTGAAGTAATAAATATAAAAGGAAAAAGAAAAATACAAAATTACAATGAAATACCACAATAATAACAGTTGCAATAAAGCTTCATCAAGAGATGATAAAATTAGTGTGTGAAAGTTTGAGGAGATACAAAGTTTGCACCATTTCAAAATATCTCCTCTGAGGGAGAAGGGGGAGCTTTTGTTTGATGAGTATAAAGTTTCAGTTTTGCAAAATGAAAAGACTTCTGGAGATGGGTGGTGGTGATGGTTGCACAACATGAATGTACCTAATGTCACTGAACTATCCACTTAAAAATAGTTAAGATGATAAATTTTGTGTTATGTATATTTTACAATAAAATTTAAAAAAATATATTTCCCAAGATATTTATTAATTACAATGGGATAAACAGCAATTTTATCGTAGAGAAACTTGGCAGAGACCACCTTAACCAACTGGTAAAGGTTAATGTCACCAATAATAATACCTACCAATATCATGAACACTGTGATATGATTCAGTGTGAATATAATATTTCCTGGTATTCTTACCTATCATATATAACGTCACTTCAATATGAAAAACATCAGGCCAAGTCATACTGAGAGACGTTTGACAAAATAAACTTTTCAAAAAATAATTAAGGTTGTGAAAGACAAGGACAGACTGAGGAACTATTATAGCCTCAGGGAACTAAGGACAAACTAACAACTAAAGGTAATGTGACATCTGGGAAAAGATCCTGGAATAGGTGGAAGAGATCAACCGAAGAACTTGTATGCATGTATGCATAACCCATGGACACAGACAATAGTGGGGTGAAAGCCTGGGACAGGGGGCGGCTGCAAGGGGTCAATGGGGCGGGGGAAAAAAGGAGACATATGTAGTGCTTTCAACAATAAAGATTTTTTTTTTAACCAAACTACAGACTTTATTTAAATGTTACTAGTTTTCTACCAATGCCCTTTTTCTGTTCCAGAATCTCACATTTATTTGTTGTTTATCTTTAGTCTCCTCTAATTTTAACAATTCCTGACTTTTTCTTATTTTTCATAATCTTGATGTTTATGAGGAATACTGATCATTATTCTGTAAAATGTTTCTCAATTTGGGTTTTTCTGATGCCTTTTCACGTTTGGAGTAAGGTTATGCATATTTGTAGCAAGAATATAAAGGAAATTAGTTACATTTTTCTTGCACATCATATCCAGAGTCCCGTGATGTCAATAGGTCTTGTTAGTGTTGGTGTTGACTTCTGCAACAATAAAGATTTAAAAAATAAAAAAGGAGGAAGAAATCAACAGGATTATTACTTATTTTTTTAAAAAGAAAAAGGATGTTAGTGGAAAATGAGTGGCAAATTTGAATAAGGTCTTCAGTTTAGCTAGAAGTATTATAGCAATGTTAATTGCCTGTTTCTGACTATTGCAGTATGGTTATAGAAGATGTTAACAATAGGGGAAGCTGGGTGAAGGGTATATTCTGGCAAGTTTTCTAACAGTCTACATTTAGTTCCACATAAAAAATTTTGAAAAGTTTTTCACCAATCCAAAATTGTAAAATTGGTAACTAAGATTGTATAGAAACAGATAGAGACCAGAATATCAGCTATATTGCTGTTAAAATTTTTGAATAATAGGACTCAAGTATGAGGCAACAATAAGCTGCTTAATACTGTCCCAGATCTAGAAAGATCACCCACCCAGACAGGTCTAATCTATAAGGCCAGGGGCTTAACTGCTAAGATCACTCATGCACTTTCTCATTGCAAAGAGGCTAGGCCTCATACATTCAAAGCTTTCTCCCAAACTCATTACTTGGATAAACTGTTCCTTTTCCTCTGGGGATAAGTGAGAAGGCCAGAAAGAGGCCAGTTATGCCACACCAATACATTTCCTTCCATGTAGAAGGAAATATCAAGCACTAGGAGTAAGTGATTCCTGCAAATTACTCATCTGTAAGTTTCTGGGCCAGTGTTTTTTGTTTGTTTGCTTGGTATGGGAAGATTTTATACTATGGATTCCATTTGTTTGTTGATTGTAGAACCATCCAGATCTTCTATTCCTTCTTAAGTCAATTTTAGTAAGTTATGTAGTTTTTATTAACTTTTTCATGTCATCAATATTTTCAAACATACTGTCATAGAAGACAACTTCCACTGCCCTCTCTCCAGAAGCGAAAGTGGCCTTCTGGGTTCTGGGGCACTTCCTTCTATTTTGCCACATCCCACAAAGGCTATTCAAGTCCCCACCTGGGTGACAAGCTGTGGCTTAACCTCACAGGCAAGGAGAAAGCCTCTACTGAGAGAAAGGATTGCAGAAGTGAGCTCCCAACATCTGGAGACTCTCCTCAAAGACTCCTGATGCATATTCCGATAAACATATACCGGTAGAGAATGAAGACCACCACTTCAGCTTCCACTTCATAAGGGGAAAGAGGAAGAGAAAATGGAATAGAAGGAGAAGGAGATGCAATAGCAGCAGCAGTCTAAATGAAAGCACCAGTCAAAAGGAAGGTTCAAGAAAAGAAGAAGGTAACAAAAAGCCCAAATGACAGTGACATGGATTGAAGGAATAAGAGGAAAAAAGTCTAAGAAGAGTTGGAAAGGAGACGGTGACTCAATCTCTAAAGATTTCTAATAATAGTCTCTGGAGAATTCCTGAAAGGATCAATCAGAGATTGAAAACCCTTCAGAACCATGTTCTGTTACCTGACCAGGTTGCAGCTGTGGCTAAATATGCAAACACTGGGAAACTGATCTCACAAATATAAATTTTAAAAAATACACAATTTAAATGGTCAGGTTATAAAATGGGTTCTGTGGCTGAAGGGAGGCCATGTGATTGTGAAAAGCAAACCAGACGCATAGGGCTGAAGCAAAGAGAGCCCTGTATCCTTTAAACAAGAAGATAGACTAAAGAGAAGGAACACTGATTAAAGAGAAGGATGACAAGGATTTTCTGATTGTTCAATAGATAGTTTACTTTAACAACAACAAAAAACGGGACACACACAATCTGAAAAAGCCTTCTAGAACTTCGGTGACTTTTATATAATTCGGCCAGTTATTCCAGAAAACGTTACTAATTGACATAACTTTAGCAGTCCCCTTGGATAATTTTAGATGGACTGAAGTAAATTTGTGTTTCAAAACTGAAATCATCAGTGAAAGGGGAGGTGACATAAAGTATCAATAAGATAAGAAATTTAAATCTCATGCCATGCGATGGTGCTATTAGTCCTACATATGCCCCCACTCCTACCCTTCAATGAACTTGTGGAAAATTATCACTCCTTTATTGACTGTGTTATAAATAGAAGTGACAAAAACATATGGGAGATCTTGCTAAACAAAAATGAAGTTTTTGCTGAACAAAGTTAAGCTAAAACTTAAAAACTGATTTATATAATTCAGAAATTAATATAATTTGATTCTAGTCCCTATTCCACCACAACTCATCTCAAAATAAACAAGAGGAAAAAGTCAACTAACCCAAAGACTTGTTTCCATGAAAAGTTCTGAAGTAAATATGGCAGAATGTTAAGATGTGATAAAGCTGGGAGTGGATACACATGTTTATATATCATTCTTCATTCTTCCCAGTATGTATGGAATATTATACAATTTTTAAATCCTAAAAAACAAATGAAAAAATGATTAAGGATTAGTTAAGTGAAAAAGGATAAGAAATATAATGCAGATAGAAATAACAGCATGGGCAAAGGCACAGAGAAATAGCATTGGAAGTATAGGTAAGATGCTTGATGAAGGTGCTTAGCAAGGATATAAGAGAAATGGGAAAGTGATCAGTCAAGTCCTAGTGAAAGGAAGTCAGAAGACACAGCGAACAGAGGTGTCTAGTGGACAGCGGGAACAATTAAACACTCATTACACATTCCAGGGACAAGAAAGCGAACCATCATAAGCTGAGCATGATAATGTAGCAGGCACTTTAAATACACTGTCCCATTTAATCTTCCCAACAGTACCACGATAGATATCATTATTTCTATTTTACATACGAGGACCCTGAAGATCAGAGAGGTTAACTAACTTGACCAAGATCACACAACTATTAACGAGGATTCTGTCCACATGTATGTTTCTAAAGCCAGTATTCTCTTTTTTAAAAATCAGGTCTTTTTTAAAGTTATAAATTCTATACCATAAAGTGCACCCATTTTAGCATACAATTTAATGAGTGTGAGTTTAATATAATTGTGCACCCATTACCACAATCCAATGTTCAATTGACTGAAATTCTATCCATTCTGACCATTGCTCAGACTTTCTCTCTACCATTATGTATCTAAACTTCTCACATCCCTGCCAACTTCTCACCTTCAACCCCTCCCTCCGCATAATTAAGTACTCCCCTCCCACCAAAACACCTTGTGAGTCTTAATTAATTGCACCTGCACTTATACTTGTTGGACTGTAATTAATAATTCATGAGTTGGTCTCTCTCCTACTAGGCCATGCTCCTTGGCGATAAGGGCAATGTTTCATTTATCTTTATCTCTTGCTCTTGGCACAGTTCATGGTAGGTACTAAAAGTACTGTTAATTCACTTAATTCAAAATTCCCAACGCAAGTTCTTAAGCGTCAGGAGACATTCAATGAGTAATTTGTTACTTTTTGGCTTAATTTGCTGGTTGAGACCAGATCTCAGGCGTTTCTCAAGGTTTTAATTGTTTTCTCATTTTCCCTTTTCCTTTTTGGCTCTTCTCTACCTCCTATCCTCAACACACACACTTTTTTGAGAAGTTAGAGATGCAACAAAGCATAAGGAAATATATAAGTTTAGGCAAAGAGGAGTACTTATAACATAATAAATTTTACTAAATTTACTCTTTTGGGGAGCTAAAAAATGTAACATTTTCCATAATATGTCGCTAAAGTTGGTCTGTTTTTAATATTTTGTCTAATACAGTTGTTTTTGGAGCTGAGGACACAGGTTCTTTCCTATTGGTCTTAAAAATAATTTCTAACAGAAGGGGAGTTTTGGCAAGCTATAACTGCCTGGCCTTTATATCCTTGTTTACGTTCCACGGGTGAAGAAATGTAGGTCATTTGGACTGCGGTTCTGTGCTCCAGCTGTCATTGAGACCAGGGATTGCAGCAACCCGAGTTTCAGCATGTCATCTCACCAGGAATCACCAAGCATCAGAGCCTTTGCCATTACCCACCTTATAAATCCTGAGTAGTTGACAGAATACGTATGGGCTAACCTTACTTGCTAATTTTTACAACTTGTGGTTGCCAACAGGTGTTTTACCTATTTCTCTTATCTGACACCTCACAGAGAGCTGATGTCAGAGACTAGTTCATATCCCTTCTTCCTCCCTCAACTGGCATAAAAAGACCAACATTCAGTTGTTGGTAATGACTGATGGTTTTTGTCATTATTCTTTACTTGAAAACTCACTAATAAATGAGGCCAGTGAAGCTATTTTCTTAATTTATTTAAGATTCTGTGAGGAGTCAACTGAGAAACATAAAAAGCTTTGCCTCACTGATGTTGGAGTCACCGATCTATAGGTAAAGTAGCTTCTCTCTGGACACAGCACAGCACTTACAAGTAGCTATAGAAATGACAGCTCTCAAAGCCAAGTTCTGGGATCTCAGGTAGCCTAGAAAATGTTTACCATACAAGGAAAAGATGTTTTATAGAACAAGCCTTCGTTTAGAAGCTTAGGTGATTTCATTTATAAATAGAACGTATTTTGTCTACTGTTGTGATTTTTTATACCATTTTAGATTTCTTTAAATTTTTTCCCCTTTGTGTATTTTTTTTTACATCCCTTAGGCTTCATGTTATCTCAGCTCACTAGCATCTGTGGCCTGGCACTTGTTTTGACTACGTAATCACATGTCTTTCCCTACATAGTGCAGCCTCTGAAACCTTATCTGCTAGGACCAGCCTTCCCTGCCCTTAGGAGGGCCTCCCAGTTATTTGCTGTACCTATTTTTCTTCAGAAGAGAACAAGAGAAAATCAACAAGGTTGATTTTGTTCCACACCTAAAAAACATATATTTTTAAAGTTAAAATGTATTGAGCTCTTTCTATGTGTCAACTTGTTTAAATAATGTAAATTCATAAGGTAGGTATCATTACTGTGCTCATGATACAACAGAAGAAATGAGGCAAGGATGTTAAGCAAGTTGCCCACGATCATATGATCAGTACAGAACAGACTCAGAGGTGGACTGGCTCCAAAGCCCACACTCTTGCCCATTATTGTACTTCTTCTGAACCTCTGAATCACATTTCCCTGTTGGATAATTAGTCCCCAGTAGTACCCTTGCATTAGAGACTCAGCCTGAGAGTTAGGAAACTTGGATTCTTGTTCTGTGTTTTAACTTGGGAGGAAAGAGCATTGTAGGTAGGGAAAATGCATGTACAAAGGTCTAATGGCCAAAGGGAGGACGAAGAAAGCCAATATTAGGAGCAAAGGGAACCACTGCAGTGTTTTAAGCCGTGGGAAGTGGGGGGTTAGCTGTAATCTGATCACAAATATATTCTTTCTTTAAAAAAGTAAATTACATTACATTTGGATTCTTTTAAATAAATTTATCTTAGAGAGAGGAAGAAAGGGAGGGAGGAAAACATTGATGATGTGAAAGAGACACATCGATTGGCAGCCTCCCATATGCACCCCGAACCAGCAACCTGCGTATGTGCCCTGACTGGGAATCGAATCCATCACAGGACAACACTCCAAGGAACTGAGCCACACCAGCCAGGATGACCACAAAGATATTCTACCAATATCACCCTGGCTGCTTAAAAGAGAGCAAAAGTAGATTTAGGAAGATTTGTTAGGAGTCTATTGAGAAAATCCAGGCAAGAGGTGATGGTGGCTTGGGCTAGGCGCAGCGGTTCTTAGCCTGTGGGTCGCGACCCCTTTGGCGGTCGAATGACCCTTTCACAGGGGTCGCCTAAGACCATCCTGCATAGCAGATATTTACATTACGATTCATAAGAGTAGCAACATTACAGTTATGAAGTAGCAATGAAAATAATTTTATGGTTGGGTCACAACATGAGGAACTGTAATTAAAGGGCCAGAAGGTTGAGAACCACTGGGCTAGGGTATTGGTAGTGTGTGTGTGTGTGTGTGTGTGTACACACATACACAGGTGTACAAGAGTGGAGTGGGGTGAGGGGATGGGAAAATATTTTTTTAAACATGTACCATGGATTAAAACTGCTTTTGATTAGATTATGTAAAAAGCCTTTAACAAAACATTCCAGAAGCTACATTTCCAATAAGTGTTACTGCCTTCAAAGTGCCATGGTGAGAGGTTCATATACCCATTTCAGTGATGCTTCATGGCTCTAAACAATTTTGGAAAGCCTCGTCTAAAATTTCCTTCTAGATATAAGGAAATGAGCTAAACTAGAAAAATAGGCTTACTGATATATATATATATATATATATCATCATCAGTTTAGCTCATAAACTTGTTTTGACTACGTAATCACATGTCTTTCCCTACATAGTGCAGCCTCTGAAACCTTATCTGCTAGGACTAGCCTTCCCTGCCCTTAGGAGGGCCTCCTAGTTATTTGCTGTATCTATTTTTCTTCAGAAGAGAACAAGAGAAAATCAACAAGGAACTAAACTAGAAAAAATAGCCTTACTGCTATATATATATCACTATCATACTTCATAAATCCCAGAAGCTAAGGGAACTATGTGTAGTGCTGTTAAATTGCTGCAGGGTTTATAAGAACTTTCTTTTATGACTTTGACCTTCCAATGTATACAGTGAGGTCAAATAAGAAAATACCTCATCAAAAAATGAGGATATATTCTTTTGACTAAGAGTAAGCCAACTCAGGAGACTCAAGGCAGAAGAAATTCTTGGATAGTCAAGATTTTTATTTTTTTAGGGAACAGATAATACATATATTCCAGAAGATTGACAGCAAATTTCCCATGGGGGGAGCAGGGGAGAATGGTGTTATATCCATCAGTTTTAAGGAACAGTGGGAAGCATGGTGGACACAGTTCAAATTTCAGACCCAAGCTGTGCCTAGCTGTGCAGGCTTGGACCAATTCTCTCTTTGAGCCTTACTTTCCTCATCTGTAAAATGGAGATACATATACCAGGAGTTTTGTGAGGTTTTACTAATGGAGCTCTGATTTCCAACCCGTCCCCCAATTTTCTCTCATTTAACCACCTTTTCTTCAGGTTAAAGAACAGGAAACCCTGAGAAAAGTAAGGATTAAAAGACAACCCTCCAGGTGTTTTCAGGCTTTAACTGGATTTACCTTTCTTAGCTCTGCAATACCAGGGCCCAGAAAAAAGAATTCCTAGTGCTTTATCACCTTCAGCAAAGCAAGGTAGGAGTGCTGTGGTTCAACAGACATTCCCAGAGCACCCTGTCATTCAAGGAAACAAGTAGCCCGTTTAAATACCTGAGTCTTTTTTTTTTTTTTTAAATATATTTTATTGATTTTTTACAGAGAGAAAGGGAGAAAGATAGAGAGTTAGAAACATCGATGAGAGAGAAACATCGATCAGCTGCCTCCTGCACATCCACTGGGGATGTGCCCGAAACCCAGGCACATGCCCCCGACCGGAATCGAACCCGGGACCCTTCAGTCCGCAGGCCGCTCTATCCACTGAGCCAAACCGGTTTCGGCAATACCTGAGTCTTTTTAAGAAAATGAAACAAACTCAATGCTCAAGAGTAGGAGATTGGTTGAACTGTGAGATATAATATCCAAAGGCACACTCACGCAGTGGAATTATATATATTGAAGAATATTAAATGGCATGGGGAGATGTTCATGATACATTAAGTAAATACTGCTGTAAAACAATATATATACTATGGATTCCAGTCTTTTATTTTTAAAATATATTTTATTGATTTTAGAGAGGAAGGGAGAGGGGGAGAGAGAGAGAAACATCAATGATGAGAATCATTGATCGGCTGCCTCCTTTACTCCCCACACTGTGGATCGAGCCCACAACCCAGACATGTGACCTGACCAAGAATTGAACCATGACCTCCTGATTCATAGGTTGATGCTCAACCACTGAACCATGCCGGCTGGGCTGAATTCCAGTCTTTTAAAAAATAATGTATTTACAGGGACAAAATAGAAAAAAAAAATTGTTAATAAATTTTGAGTGGTAAGATTATGGGTGTTTTAAATTCTTTTCTAAACCTAATACAATAAATGTAATATTTGTTAATAAAAAGTTATAATACATATGATACAGCATCTGAAAACTCCACAGGGCAGAAATTGTGACTACTTTGTTTACCGCCACCGAAAAAAACAGCATTTAAAGAAATTAGTGTTTTTTCTAAGCAGAATGTGTAAAAGGGGAAAGTGCCTCTTTTGATTTTCTACAAGTTTCCTCCTTTTTCAGGCAGTTATTTTTTCCCCAGAATTAAGAGTGGAAAAAAGAAAATCAGCCTGCCTCTTTTTCTGCCCCAGGATGCTCACTGCTGAGATTTAGAGTAGGGAAATTTCACATAATACAGACGTCCCAATACCGGAGGCTCCTGGATCTGCCACTGGTCTGTACCCTCTTGGCCATTCACTTCCTGACAGGCGCCTCTGTGGGTAGCAGTGAGGTAACTGGGGAAATTCCTGTCTTATAACCTCTACAGATATCCTGCAAAGGGGAGGAAAGCCCAAGGCCCAGAGTTTCTTGAGTTTTTAAAATAAGGGTACTTGTAAGTAGTTAAAACACTCTACTGTAATTGTTAAGAATCAATACCATTTACTGAATGCTTTCCAAAAGCCAGACATATACTGCATTATCTCATTTAATTTTCACACTGGTCACTTAGGTATTATCCCTATTTCACAAAGACAGGCTAAGGTCAAGCAATGTACCTTCAGAGACTGCAAAATTATTTCAAAATTGCCTCCATTATTCTCCTCTGTGAGATGAGGATTCTCCGTTTTAACACGTGAAAGAAAGGACAGGTGGCTTTCAAATCCCTGGTGTGGGTCTCTATGGCTGATCCCTTGGAGCAATTCCAGTTTTTTTGGTTTCAATAGATGAGTCCTGCCCTAACCAGCTTGGCTCAGTGGATAGAGCGTCGGCCTGTGGACTCAAGGGTCCCAGGTTTGATTCCGGTCAAGGGCGTGTACCTTGGTTGCGGGCACATCCCCAGTGGGGAGTGTGCAGGAGGCAGCTGATCGATGTTTCTCTCTCATCGATGTTTCTGATTCTCTCTATCCCTCTCCCTTCCTCTCTGTAAAAAAAATCAATAAAATATATTTTAAAAAAAATAGATGAGTCCTGTACTTAGTAGTGCAATGGAAGCCAAACATGGGCCTATATCACTAGATTATGAGTGGCAGATTTTAATCCGACACCGAAGGAGTTAGGGTGTGGTAGGAGACTAGATACTACTGCAAACAACCAGGTCAGGATGTGTCTTGACAACTCTCAAGACAAGGAGACAGTCCTGTACATGGGATATAGGACCAACGAATTCTGGAGTTTACTGGAGGGAGGAAGGGAGGGAAGGAGCCCATGGCTCTGCCAGGGGAGAACGAGGCAGAATAGCTCAGGTGAGTGGATGGTGTTCTGATGCTTGGTGGACCAGCTCAACCCTACCTACAAAGGAATCCTGTGTAAATTTTGGCCAGGTATGTATGCTATCATAAAATAGTATTTTATTGAACAAGACAATCTGCTACCCAATCCTTAAAGTACAATACTTGTTAATATTGATTTTCTGATATACACACATAATAAAAAGAAAGACAAAGAGACAACATGGCTATAATAAATTATGGTGTTTTCATTTCTTGTTTGGATGAAACTGGAACTTTTCCAAGAGTTGTTTGAAGTAAAATAGGGACTTGAGACACTGAGTTATTTTCATAGTATTGACACTGCTTGCTATATCAAAATCAAATTCCTCAAGGTTGGTCTTAATGCAAGTTAATTTTAAAATCTGTAATCTTGATTTTAAAGAATTTATTGTCTTTTTTTTGGCGGGGGGGGGGGGGGGGAGGGGAGAGAAGCTGCAGAAAAGGAAGCATTTTCCTAGAATTATGAGTTAGCAACCTTGCAAGGGTCCTTGTCCAAGTTCTGCCCCCAACCAGCTAAATAATTCTGAACAAATCTCTTAAGCTTCAGAGTCCTCACCTGCACAACGAGATTCTAAAAGGCAGATGCGATGGCTGACATTGTTGATGTTCTAATAGAATCTAGGTGACAAGATAGCACTCCATGGGTATCCACAACAACAGTAAAACTAAATCCCATGAGCAGGTGCCCTCAAGTGCAGCGTTGGGTATTCCCGAGTGTCAAATGCTTACAGACACCGGTGAACGGCCGTCTTTGTCCTCAGAGTATGGATGGTGGGCATTCTGAGTTAGAGAGCTTTCTGGGAAAACTTCCCCTTCCCTTGGTCCCCCGTGCATCCTGGAGGAAAGGAAGAGCAAGTGGGGTAAGAATATACGATCTGGAAGTTGTATTCCTGGGAGTCAGGTCTGGAAGGTGCCTCCTCCACTTGCAAGCTGCACCCTGATCTCTGAGGTCCGGGGCGGAAATGTTCTGCTCTAACAAGGCCCGTGAGATAGGGAACCAACTACAGACACTTAGGTCTCCATGAATCCAACACATAGCCTGCCGTGGAGTTCAACAACGTGGAAAGGTCACTTTTTCGAATTTTTGTTTAATTATTCTGAGGACCTGCTTGGCAGGCACCAAGCTACGGGGCTTGTGATGAGGATGAATCAGGAAGTCCTCCAAAGAGGACGCTGACACCAGGCAGGGCAGCTTCTTAGAAATGGAGAAGGGGAGATTCCCATGCGGCCAGGCACGCGTACTATTCCTTATCATTCCCACCTACTCAAAAGGTCTGACTGTGTGCTTCAAAGCCTGGTGTGGTGGTTCTAGCTAGCCTGAGAAGCTTCGGGTATTTTTTTAAATAGGTTTCTCTTGTTCAGTAACTGTGGCCTCCAAATTTATAATTCTCCTCTTTCCACTCCATCCTCCCTTCATCTGTGGTAGAAGCTTTCGTGCCTTGCATTTATCACTGTTCTCTCCCAACCAAAACAGTGCCAGGGAACAGCCTACGGGGCATCCCTACGAAAGCACTAAGAGAAAGCGCGGCTCAGCTGCTGCCCAGACAGCCGGCACTTTAAAGGCTTTTGTTTCCATCACGATTTAAGACTTAAAACCAACGAGGAAAGCGGGAGCTTTGCCCCGCAAGAACTACCCACTTTCATCCCGGGTTGAAGTCTCCCACCTTAAAAAAGGCATCGCCTCATCGCCTCCAGGATCCCGCCGACACTTCCGTACACCGGCAGGTACTTGATTTCTTTACGACGCGAAACTCTCTCTAGCACCTCAGCCTGTCAAGACCGCCCCAGGCCTGAGGCTTTTCTATCGCGGGTTCGACTTCTCTATTTTTCCAGACCCAAGCCCGCCCACCGGCGTCGAGGTCAGCTCTTTATTGGTCCTGACGTGTGCTCGTCTCCTCAGTGAGCCAATCAGAACCTCGCTTTCTACCCCAGGGATTTGGGAAACGGAAAAGACCTCGACCTGTTCCTGGGGAGTAAGGCGGGGCCGTAAATGAGTGACATTTCAACCCCCCAATGGGCAGAGCGCTAGGACCTGCCCCTCTGGCGCCCGGGCTAGAAAAGAGCGTTGATGCCGGGCACAGGGATGAGTCCTAGGCGGCACTGCCGGCCCGGCTGCTCTGAGGAGCGGGTGCTGCTGGTGGCCTCTTTGCAGGTGAGTGGTTTTGTCTTAGCATGTTTGCTGTTGAGAACGTTCCCGTTTTTAAAGGAGGTGGCGTTTTACCCCGGAGTGCGGGAGGCCAGTTCCTTGACTCTGCCGGTTCTGCCTTTGAATCTGGCGCTCGCTCGTCTGCCCCTCAAGGGCCAACCCTCACGCGTGCCCCGGGTTCCTCTCTGCTGTCCCTTTCTCTGAATGAGCCTGTCTGGGAGGCACAGGTGCGTCAGCTGGAGGGAGGACTCGCCTTGGGAGTGGTGTCTTGACGGCAGGAATAAACAGGAATTGAAGGGAGGGAAGATCACCTCCCCTGGGCGCCTGGCAGAGCCCCGTCAATGGTGGGGCTGCAGGAAGGAGGCTCGGTGCCCTCGGGGCCATGCCACTGTATTTAGGGCGATGGCAGACCTGCCCCTGAAAGTCGAAGCAGACAGAAAAAAACCTGAATGCCGTGAAAGGAGGAGGAGGTGAATGTCTGAAATGGTTTTCACGGAGCGCTCAAATCTGGAGCCAAATCACAGGTTCTTAAAAAAAAAGTTAAGTGTGTTTCCTCTCCTTTCAAAGGCGTAGGGGGCTGCATTGCTAGAGAAGGGCAAGAGAAATGCATAAGGGAAGTGAAGTGCACGGTTAAGTTTTGAAGGGTAATGGGTGGTTAGAGAACTTATTATAACTCCCATTCGCCAACCGTCTAGCTCTCTTCCAAATTGTGGAGCATTGATAGCTTGTGCGTGGGACCAGAAAGTTAACTGACGGAATGCAGGATTCGGTGGTGGAGGGGTGGGAATCAAACAGTATCTTTCAGCAGAAGCTGCTAAGATTTTCCGTTTTGAAAGCAGAACACATGTTTCAATTTGCCTTTTATTTTAAATCGGACTCCCCTGAGTCCAGGGACCAGGTTTTATCCATCTCTGTCTTCTTGTAGCACCGTAGATGCTCTTCCGTTAGTGTGGACTTACTTTCGAGAAGCATCATTCAAAACAAATGGTGTAGTGAGAGGAGCTCTGAGTTGCAGAGTCCAGACACCTGGGTTTTAGTCTTGAAGCTGTTGCTATTTGTGTGATCGTAAACAAATCGTTTCAACTCTCTGACTCTTCATTTTTGCATCTTTCAAGAGCAGATGCTGCCTTGGATTATTTCTGAGGTCCATGCCTGTGTTAAAGGTCTGTTTAAAGTGAAAATGATTAGACATTTTCCACCACAAGTATATAAACATAATCTCGTTGCAGTAAATCCCGTACCAGTCTGTTAGCAAATAAAAGTTCGCAGCTGTGAGGGTAGTGTTTGTTCTTTTGTGTCTACATTTAAACCAAATGGATCCTAGGAGAAACTTTGGACATTTACAGACGGACCATTTTACAGAGGTACAAACGTACTAGTAGAAAATGTCATTTTTTTATTCCATCATCCAGCGGCAACTCACTGTTAATGTTTGGGTAGATCTTTTGGTGTCTCTTCCCCTTTTGCTTCCTACAGTTGGTTGAAATTCAGTGGCACCTTCCGTTTTAAGTAATGACTGATACATCTACATTCAGCCCTGCTTTCACCTTTGTGTGTCTGGTGCCCACACATGTTTGAATTGATAGGTCTTTTGAATATTCTTGAAATGAAATCTGGTGTGAGGGAATGTTTATATGGGGAAATAGGACTAAAAGAATTACCTAACAAAAAAATCTTTCACTGAAACTTGGCCACAAATATGGAAAAAACATCCTTTATAAAAATGTAAATTAAATGTTAGCCACCTCATTAAAGCATTTGGACTGTAGTATTTGGTATACTTCTAAGACTGTATCTTACCATCAACTTTACCACCCCCTCCAACATACACGCACACACACACAATTTGATTTCATTCCTCCTTCCTCTACCTAATTTAACTTTCTTTACCCAGCCTCATTTTATTTCCAGCTTTTGCTTCTGCTCATGCCATCAGCAAGGTAGGATCATCTTCAAGGGCCTGAGGTCTGTGCCAGTCTTCATATGTTAGCTAGAGTCTGCTCCATTCAACCCAGAATACCTCTCACTTTTTGGTAGTGTGCTTCACCATCATCTCATTTAGTCTTCCTAATAGCCCCCTGAGAACAGTAATTTCATTATCCTCTTTTTGGATAAAGAACCTGAACAGGCTGAAGTTCAGGAAATTTAAATAACTTGGTCAAGGTCACACTGTCAGTAAGTAGCAAAGCTGGGACTGATATCCAGGTGTCTTGACTTAAACTTTTGGGGTTTGGTGGAATAGTTTATGTTGACAACAGCTACTACTCTGGGGAAATAAGTAGCCAGAGATAGGAAGGAGGTGTCATGAGTGAGTACTGTGTATATTGGTGATGCCTTGCAGGCTGAAACTAGCAACATGAAGACCAACATACATCTCATCACAAAAATATATCTCTTAGCTGTGAATAGGGGTTCACCTGCTATGGTTTGTTTCCCTTGTAACAAGTGATCAGTCACAGCTGTTTGTTAGTAGATGTAAAGTTGGAGAATGACAGGGTAATATTAGTGCCTAGAAAATACCTGTGATAGCATTTGCTCCTGGTAAAGAGGTATTCTTCTAATGCAACTACAAATGGAAAAGTTACTATAAAGCTATAGGAAAAGTAATAGATGGTGGAACACTAGGTACTTTTAGGTACAGTCATGTTTGGACTTTTAATATTGAGCTTGATTTGGGGGAAAGCATATTGTGTTAAGACTCCAAAGAACTGAGCTCCAGATTTCATTTGCCTTAAGAACTGTTCCTTTTCCTTTATCAGAAACATGGTTAACCTCTCTTTGTTTCTATATCCTCAAATATATAGCCAGCCTATCTTCTGTAGAGTTAGGTTCCTAATGCAATGGGAGTTGAGTTTCACATTGAAGATTTGGACCAGGGAAAACATCTGAGTGGTCTATGGTGGCATTTGAATAGTTAATATTTAAGGATAAGCTTTGGATCATAGCAACTCTTGCTCTGTATCCCTTATTTTCCATACGTCAATATTATATCATTGATCATATTTCTTACTCAGTTTTTGGAAACAAAAAAACAGAAAGCAAACTAAGTTTTTGGGCTGGTCTTTATCTTGTAATTTTATCTACCTGTTTATGAATTGTCATACTGGGATATTAGACATTATTACTTTTCGAATACCTGAGGAAGGGAAGAAGCAATGTTCTAGGAACATTACTTTCGAAGACAGGACAAGCCTCATTTATGGTGGAGATGGGGGAGGTATGTGAAATTACCTGGTTTAATTATCAGGAGTAGGAGGTAGCAGCAGGGTTTTTATGCTGCATTTGTTGAAACTACCTAGAGATTCTGGAGATAGTGTAGAACAGTGATGGCGAACCTTTTGATCTCGGCGTGTCAGCATTTTGAAAAACCCTAACTTAACTCTGGTGCCGTATCACATATAGAAATTTTTTGATATTTGCAACCATAGTAAAACAAAGATTTATATTTTTGATATTTACTTTATATATTTAAATGCCATTTAACAAAGAAAAATCAACCAAAAAAATGAGTTCACGTGTCATAGGTTCGCCATCACTGGTGTAGAAGTAACCTCAGTAAATACAATGCCTTGTGTGTGCACCAGTCATATATATATATATTAGAGGCCCGGTGCACGAAAATTTGTGCACTGGGGGGGGGGGGGGGGTTTGTCCCTCAGCCCGGCCTGCCCCCTCTCACAGTTTGGGAGCCCTCAGGGGATGTCCTACTGATGGCTTAGGCCTGCTCCCCACAGGAGGCCACCGGGCTGATCAAGGGAAGGCACCGCCCCTATCACCCCGCTGCTGCTGCCACTGCCGGCCGTGATGGCTGCCTGAGCCCCGGGCCTTGCAGCTGCAGGAACTAATGGCTGCGTGAGCCCATGGCTGCCTGAGGCTGTGGCTGCGGCTGCAGTGAGCCCACAGCTGCTGTGAGCCCTGGGCCTCGCAGCCGCCTGGGCTCAAGGCTGCCTGAGCTTGAGACTGCCGTGAGCCCCGGGCCTTGCAGCTGCTATGGTTTTGTCCAGATGGACATTCAGATGGATGTCCAGAAGATGTCTGCTCTAATTAGCATATTACCCTTTTATTAGTATAGATATACCCTCTTCATCCTTGCCTTATCTAAAGGATACTAATCTTAAAACATAATTTCAATTTTATAGTGGCATTTATGGAAAGAATATTTTTTACTCTGTAGCAAATATATGTATGGCGAAGGGTATTTGAAAATATGTCACTTGCAGAGTGTGTTTCCTTTGAATCATCTATTTGTTTCTTTATTGCCAAGGCAATTGCATAGCACCTCTTCCTCAGCAAGTATACATTCATTTGAAGTTTGAGTCATTGTGGCAATTTATGAAGATGTCTAATAGAAGTAAAGTATGTCAAAATGACAGATTATTTTTTGAAGTTGGCTAACGTGAATAATTTTTCCTTCTAGTGTTTTCTTTAACCCATTATTAAATAATTAAATTAAGGAAAAGTAAATACTCAGACTGATTTAAGTGTTCTCAGTATTGTATTCTGTGAAAAATAAATACAATTATGAATGGGATTCCATTACTCAAGGTACTTGATGTTCTGGCCAAGAATAAAATCAGGTAATATAATAATGTTGGGATTATTCTGTGACCAGATGCTTAAAGTTTCAAAACAGTGATGCAATTAGGAGATGAGAGAATGGTATCCTGCCAGGCCAGGT